TGATGTCAGCTACCGTGCGTGATTTTTTTTGAGTGCATCTTTGGTGGTGTGTACCACCCGTTCAGCTTGCCCATTGGTGGAAGGGTGGAAAGGAGCTGATGTTGCATGCCGGATTAAGTTGGCCTGTAGGAAAGCCTGGAACTCAAGAGAAGTAAATTGGGGGCCATTTCAGAGACGAGGACATCAGGAAGTCCATGGGTAGCTAAGATTCCTCTCAACACCTGGATGGTCCTAGCAGTAGTAGCGGAGGAGACAGGTACAACTTCTAACCACTTGGAATGGCTATCCACCAGGATAAGGAAGAATTGCCCCTGAAAGGGCCCAGCATAAATGTACCCTTGACCAAGGGGTTTGTGTCTCCTCCCACCTGTGTACAGGGGCCTGAGGCATTTCAGGCCGTGACTGTTGGCACACCTGGCACCCGTGCACCTGGGCTTCAATAGCTTTATCAAGCCCAGGCCACCAAAGATGGCTGCGTGCAAGCGCTTTCATGCACACAATGCCCGGATGTCTCTCATGCAGAGAGGACAAGACTCTAGGCCTCAGTGATGCTGGGATAACTACTCTACTACCCCATAACAGCACCCATTAAATGTAGACATTTCGTGCCTCCTTTGCCAGAAGCTTTGAAACACAGCATCTGGACACATGTCAGGCCATCCTGACAATACCCATGTCAGCACGCGTGTAAACATGTGATCAGTGGCAGTTTCTGCAGCCACGTCCCTAGCATTGAGGGGGGATTCAGGTAGTTCCTGAATAGAGAGAATATTAATAGCAGGGGCAGGATCTGCCTCTATTTGAGTGAGAGGCAGCCTAATGAGGCCATCTGCATGGCCCATTTCTTTGCCAGGTTTGTGAATGAGCATGTAGTCATATGCTGACAAGAAAATGGACCACCTCAGCATAAGAGGGGAAATAATGTGAGGGGTTTGTTTGGTCGTTGTAAACAACCCCAGCAAAGGCTTGTGGTCTGTGTAGACCATGAAGTGACGGCCATATAAGAAATCATGGAATTTCTTTATGCCAGCCAATATTGCCAAGGCTTCTCTGTCAATCTGAGCATAATTCTCCTCTGCAGATGTCAGAGTCCTTGAGTAGTAAGCCACAGGGACTTGTGTCCCATCAGCCTTTAGGTGACTGAGTACTGCACCCACCCCATAAGGGGATGCATCACAAGCGATGCATACAGGCAGTTGCTCATTAAAATGGGCTAATACAGCATTTGATGAGAGCAAGGCCTTGACCTCCTTAAAACTCCTGTCATGGACTTTAGTCCACTGCCATGGAGCTTGCTTGTCTAAGAGCCGGTGTAACAGCTCAGCCACTGCAGCTTTATGGGGAAGGAAAGCATGATAAAAGTTAAGAAGTCCCAAGAAAGCCTGAAGCTCACTCTTGGACTCGGGACTTGGGGCCTCCTGGATGGCCTTCAATTTAGATTCTGCAGGGTGGATGCCTTGAGCATCTATTTTAAAGCCTAAAAATTCTGTGGAAGTAACACCAATTTTACATTTGTCCTTTTTAATTTGAGGCCCACTTGACGGAACCTCAGCAACACAGCCCTTAATCTTTCAGCCAAATTCTGTGATGACTCCCCTGCAATGAGGACGTCATCGAAATAGGGGCAAACCCCTGGAATACCCCGAGCGTGCGCTCCATGACGCTCTGGAATATGGCAGGAGCAACATTCACCCCAAATTGTAACCTTTTAACCTTAAAAGCGCCCCTATGGGTCACTATTGTTTGGGCCTCAGCAGTTGCCTCATCAACAGGTAGCTGTTGATAGGCCTTGCTAAATCAAGCTTTGCAAACAGTGTTCCCCCTTTAAGGGAGGCCAGAATATGACTCACTACTGGTACAGGATATGCATGCTGTTGCAAAGCTGTGTTCAGAGTACATTTATAGTCCGCGCAAATTCGGACTTCCCCGTTAGCCTTTAAAGGCATCACAATTGGGGTTTCCCATGGACTTGAGTCCACAGGTTCCAAGATGCCCTGCTGGAGCAGCTTGTCCAGTTCAGCATCAATCTTGCCCTTGAGGGCGAAAGGCACCCTCCTAGGCTTAATCCTAACTGGTGCAATGTTTGGGTTTAATCGCAAGGCAATGGGAGGCCCCTTGTATGAACCAAGCTCTGAACTAAACACATCCGCAAACTCTCTGCAGACTTCTGTAATTCCTAGAGTTTGCAGGCTATTCAGACCAGTCACCTGAATTCCCAGGGCCTCAAACCAATCGAGTCCAATTAGACTCGTACGATCACCCCCAACAACCACCACATCTAAAAGGCCTTCGAAAGCCTTATGCTGCACCTTGAGTGTGGCTTCTCCAAGTACATTAACCTTTGAATTTTGAAAGTCAGTAAGAATTATGTTCGATGGCCTGAGTTTGACTCGACAGCCACTACTGCAGCAAATCCTTTTAAAGGTATTATGTGAAATGATCAATAGAGCGGACCCAGTCCAGCTCCATCGATAAGGGAACCCCTTGTAACTATACATCAATGCGAAGCTTCTTTTTAAGGGGCTTGTGTGTCCCTGTTCGCAAGATGCTTCTACGTGACATGCAGAAACCCACTCTGTGTTGGCTGGGGACCCTGGTACCTTTCCAAAGGAATTCTTCCCGAGGTTGCACCTGCTGGCGACCCAAACAAATGGTGGCAATGTGGCCTTGATTACCACATGCTCGGCAAATGGCGGAGCAGAACCGGCAGTCTGTGCGCTTGTGGCATCCTCCGCAACCGAGACACTGAAGGGCTGCTGGGGCCTTGTCTGGTTTCTCTCACGGTCTTCTTACTGCTGGCTGGTGAAGTCTGTCCACCTCCTCTTCAGGATCCGAGTCTTGAGCTTCCTGAGCGACCTCTTGATGGACGGTCACGACAGCTGGAGCGTTTCTGGCGAGCTGCAAAGCCTTCACAGCGCCGCCTGCTGCTTCTTCAGCTGCAACTTCGTGTAAGACATCTTGGAAGGTGACTTCAGCTTTAGCAAAGATTTTTTGTTGCAGCTCCCTGCTTCTAAGGCCGCAGACGAAGTGGTCTCGTAAGCGTTCTTCCAGGTCCTTGAATTCACAAGGCCTGGCAGCTTGTCTCAAAGCAGCAATGAACTCAGCACCGGACTCGCCCGGCTTCTGATCCCTCTGCTCAAAAGCATGCCTCCACGCAATCACAGAAATTTTGGGGTTGAAGTGATCCTTCAGCATGATTTTTAGGTCTGTATAGGTGACAGACTCCAATGGTGCCAGGGCTACCAGGTTCTCGGCTACATCAAAAGTGTCCTGACTGCAGACGCACAGCAGGGTTGCCGCTTTCAAGCCGTCTTCCCGAACCTGGTTAACCCTTAGGTAATTTTCCACTCGGGCCACATAGGAGTTCCAGCGCTCCGGGTGAGAGATGTCGAACTCGGACAGACATCCAATCTTTGACATCTTCTGCTTCGAATGCCTCGCTGCAAGCCTTCATTGAAGGGGAAGGGCCCGTTTGCCAAGCTGACCTCCAGCGATGCTGTACTGGCAGGTGAGTGCAGAGCTGGACGCCGATTCCCAGGCTTCAGGCTCTTCAGATGAGGCTTATCCTCTTCTTACTGCCTTTTTCCTTGCAGCAATCCCACCTTCGTCACCACTTTTGTGTTTCGGGATTCAAGGCATTGAAGCACGACACATAGTAGAACCAAACTTCTTTTATTTCTCCTTAACTCTACTCCAAGCAATCTGCAGACAGGCACACAGGCCTTTTATAGTTTTCCAACCCCCAGGCAGTCCAGCCAATAGGAATCCTTCTTTCTTTGCGCCTTGCGCATGCGCAGAAGTCCGGCGCCAGCCAGTCTGGTCCCGGGTAGCTTTTAGGTTGCCCGGGACCATTTGCAACATTTCTGGGCCTGCTGAGTTGCCTCATCAGGCCCAGGACACAACAGTAATCCTATAGAATAAGAAAGTTTTACTGCAGGAAGTGGAATCTTCTAACAGGTCATGACACAGGAAAAACCTGTTGAGAATGTACAGTGGGTCAAATGGTGCAGATTTTTTAATGCACTGATATCAGCATACAATGGTTTGGCTTACAAGTCAAGACAGTCTATTCAATAGCATGGAGTTTCGTAGCTATTCATGGCTTTTCAAATTTCTTTATGTCTTGTTAGCTTCCTATCACTGGTCCTGCTAATTTTAGACATCATTTAAATCTAAAATGGACTTACAGGCAGATAGGTTATGTGCTCAAAGCATAATGAAGCAATTTTCACAGCTGCATCAGTATATGCTCAACTTTACAAGAATCCACCCAAGCCTCATTCTCATCATACTGATTTTTTCCTGGAAAGTGGTCCTAAAATGATATTGATAGTAACAATGGAAACTTTTTGTGCAAAGTATTAATTTCCTAAAATAAAAAAATCAAAGTGCTTTCCCCCCAGCTGAATGGAACTACATGCATATACCATCTGATTTCCCTTTGCAGAGTATTTAAAAACAAAACTATGTTCTAAACTGGAAAGGATCTTGAGATGAATGATCACAACTATCTGTCACATATGAAGAAACATGATTCAACATGAATTTGGACAAAATCACCTGGAGGAGATGGAATATTGCTTGTAGAAGAAATGGCTCAGAAAAAGGTATAGAATCAGCTGATGGCTACATTCTTGAATACATTCTGATTAGATATAAGGCACATTGAAAGGAATATAATGAATTTCAAAGGCAGTTGTAATTTGTTATAAAGAATTGTTCAAAGAAGGAATAAACCCCTACAAGGCTGAAACTGACCTTGGAATGACCAATGTGAGTCTAGCTGGTACAGAATATAGCCAAAGAAAGAATCATGGCATTATCTGAAAACAACTTAGAATATAGAGAATATGTGACTATTATTAGGTCAATATGATGCATGTTTATATGTTGTGAAATAAAACTTCTTCTGGGTCTTAACAGACAAATCATTGAAATATGTGATGGTTGCCTTTTAGGTTATAAACACTGAACAATAAAACATTTCAGTAATAGTTTTATGGTTGTTATTATTAGGCAATAACTCTGAAGCCAACAAATGAGTCCATTTTAATGAGAATTTGTTCAGTGAATTTGGAGCCCATCAGAAAAAAGACTTGTGGGAAGAAAAATTAATTAGTACAAACGTGAGTGCAAATTTTCTGATTTTTTGTTGTTTGTTTTGTCTTTGTTTTCCTTTTACTTTAAAGCATTTTGTTTGAAGTATACAACTCATGTGCACAATTACAAAGTTTGTACGGTTTTCCTTGGTGACGATAAAAAGTGGTTTTATTGTTATCATTATAATTATTATAAATGGGGATAAAAATTAAAGTGAAAAAAGAGAGGTCACAGTTTTGTCATTGGTATGTGAAGGTTGTTCCAAGGGCCCATCCAGAGTTCTTCATCTTCTGACTGTGCGTGATCACCGGGCAAGTCCGAAGACTCTTTGATACCTTCATTACCAATGATGGACTCTTGCTGGTCTGTGCTTTTAAATCTGCTCCCTGCTGCTTTTGTTGCTATGTTGTCAGTGTCTACTGCAGAGGCAGCAAAGGAAACATTACAGGGTCTGGTGTTCAGTTTATCGTTAGATGATGCCCCCGTGGGAAATGTGTTCAGTGGGATGTTTTCCTCGTGTGTTACACCTAACTTATCAAGCTTCTTGAATTGTTTTCCCAATCTGGCAGGAGATGTGACCTTCAAATTGTTTGAAAGGCAACTTCGACGTGTTCTGATAACTGACCCATTTTGGGCTATGTATATATTGCCGTTGACATTGGCTGGAATATTGGGATTGCTGAGACGATTCCTCTGGCTTTCCAGGGCACTGTCCTCTCCAGTGGAGCTGCTCTCATATTCAGGATCAAGGACCAACTTGATCCTTTTCTTTTTGGCCCACTGGAGGACAACAAAAAGAGAGAAAATATTTAAGTATCTCCTAGTTTATTTTTAATGCAGAACACTGCTTTTCTGTCTCTACTAAAAAAAAAAAAATCCTAAGCATAGAAATAAGATTTATAATACATAGTCCCCCTGATTAATGCATCAATTTACACTAGTTTCTCATGCCATGCTCTTTGAAATGGAAGGTAAGCACATGTAAAACAATAACTTTTAAAAATACTGTATCGAGAGAATATCTATGAAACAATAATCCCTTTACCCATCTTCTCCTCTCTGGTTTGTAGCATGCAGGAAGTTTATTTTTCAAGCATGTGGAAAGCAGGACACAGTGAAAATGTTGTTGTGCAATTTGTAAAGGGTAAGAGAGTAAATGATATTCACCCTATCATGACATTTAAGTAGCATACTGAAAACGATCTTAAATTAGTACACTTGAAGTTAGTCTTGAATCTATATTAGCTAAAATATTCTAACTTGGGAAGAAATATCGTTGGTACCAACGTTATATCCAAAGCAGTGCTTAAAAGTATGTAAACCTGTTTGAATTTTCAATATTTCTGCAATATTTCAGTATGTTTTTGGCTCATTTGTTTAAGTGAGTCTACTTTTAGGACTTTTGTGGAGAACAAATCATGCTTGAGGTCATATTTATGGAGAAATATTGAACATACAAAAGAATGACAAGCATATCTGTGTCTATGCCTGCATCTCTGTTTCAATCATATGAAGATATCTCTTGGGGAAGAGATGAGCTACATCTGTAAGTATCTCCAGACATGTCCTATACAATGTAAAATAGCTATAGGTGATTCTGCATATTATTACTCTATGGAGGGATCTCTCAGACAGCATCAATTCAGTTCCTGAAATTTGTTCAAGTGAACCAGTAGCTAAAAAAAACTAGAAGAAACTAGAAAAAACTAGAAGTCATACTGGGATAGGCATAATCATAATTTTATGCACATCTCTCCGTGAACAGATAATGAAGAGTTATTTAAAGTTCATACATGAAAGCCTTATTATGAAATAATTCAACTATAACATAAAATAAAAAATACTGACAAATGTATAGGACTTAGCAATAGAGGTGGTACTCGTGCTAATAATAAGGTTAGTATTTTAAAAATAATAGCTTTCTTCCAGAATAAGTCATTCAATGATTTATGAAAAGTGCTTGATATTTCTTCTTATCATGGTTCATTGTAACAAATGAAAGAATAATTTTTATTCTTCAAGGAAGTGGAAGGTATGGAAATGGTTAGAAAAAAGACTGTCCACCAAGGATCTAATATGAATATGTATCTCATCATTTAAATTATTATTTAAAATTTAAATTTAAATATTCATATTTTATCTAAAAAGTCCAATGCGAGTTTATATCATCCTTATAACTGGCACCAGCAAAAAGGAAGCAAAAGCATCAATCTCCTTAAAAATTAATTTCCACACAAAAGAACAAAACTATCAGCATAAGGAATAAAGAGATAGATTATTTGCAAACAATGTTAAAGTGAGAAAAATGGTTATAAATAGAATTGCTTTTTAAAGATATGCAGGCACTCTTAGGAAAAAACCCACAAACTGTGCATTATAGTAATGTACATATGTTTCAGTGCATAATTAATTCACATGGGTTTTCTTGACGATTGCAGTGTCAAGGGAAAACTTGCTTGTGTGAATAAACCATTACTGGAAAGAAGGATCACAGCAGTTCACAACACTTCAAGCATCTCTACTCCTGAATAAACAGGTTAACCAGAAAGTATTACATGGTGATTTATATTGCCTGAAACGGCTTTTAATAGAATGCTTTGTCATAGCACCGAGAGATTTAATATTTAATTCTTTAGGCCTCTTGACCTTTTCTGATTAGTACATGTAGCACTTCTGCAAAAGTATGACTATCTTCCATATTTTGTCTGTCTAGTTTGTTCTGTGAGATTTCCATAGTAACGCTTTCTCATTGGCAAAAAGCAATACACACAGTGCACAGCAAACAAATTAAAAAAAATCCACTTCACTGCAAACTTTCTAACCATAGTCTCACTTTTCTTTTAAAAGGATGTCAAATCACTAGGAATGTCTGATTCTGTAGTATCGGGAACATCTTTGGTATCATGGTCTGATTCACCTAAATACTCTTCAGGGACTCTTTTCTTTATATTTTCACTTTTCATGTCTTCTTTGGAAACTGTTACTGATGCTGGTTTCTTGATAGTGCTTTTCTCCTTTTCAGTAGCATGTCCATCACTCTCTTCTTCACTGCTCCCTGTTTGTTGGCTGGAAGTAATGTTTTCACTGTTGAACGTGGCTTCATGGTCACTTGATTCCTCCTGCTCCTCCTCTTCTTCTTCCTCTTCTCCTTCTCCCTCTCCCTCTTCCTCTACATCTTCTTCTTCCTTTCCCTCTCCTCCTTCCTCTTCCTCTTCTCCTTCTTCCTCTTCTCTTTCTTCCCACTCTTCTCCTTTTTCTTCCTCCTCTTCTACAATGGAAGGTGATTCTTCTGTGGCTTCAGATATTTCAGATATTGCATTATCTAACTCACTTCCAGCTCTAGAACGTGTTTTGAAACTGGACCCAGAAGTCTCATCCTTCCTTGACCTTGTAGTAACTTCACTGCTGATGGAACTTTGCATCAATGATGAGATATTTGACTCTGTATCATCTTTCACAAGGTCAGAAACTTTGCGCTGAGAATTGATTGTTCCGTCTTCTGAGTCGCTGCTTGAGGAGGAGCCAGATGAATCTGAATGTTCTTCATCAGAATCCACCGTGCTTTCAGTAGCTTCATCTTGATCTAGGGTAACTTTCAAATAATCTTTATCTGATTGAGATGTCAAAGAACTACTTTCTGATGATGATGATGAGGAGGAGGAGGAGGAGGAGGAGGAAGAGGAGGATGTTGACTTAGTAGATGATGTTGTCATAGAAGATGATGTTGTTTTAGAAGATGATGTCATTTCTTTCTTTTTTCCATAATCACTAACTTCAGATTCACTTTCTGCTGTGACACTAATTGAGATTCCAGACTTAGATTCAGATTCACTTACTTCCTCAGAGGTACCATGCTCCTGACCTTTCTTCAAAATACTAGCACGTTTAAATTTACGGCCAAGCTTTTTTGAAGATGGTCCATCACCTGCTGATTTCTTACTGTCTTCTCCATCTGCCTGCTGTGCTGCCATCAGCTTGACATAATCTGAATCTTTACCTCCTCCTTTTTGTAGCATCATTGGAAATATCTTGGCTTTTTTCCATGGGGATGGTGCTGCTTCAGTTGTTGCTGGCCTATGAGCACTAACTGCTATTCGGCCCAGCTGCATCACTGGTCTTAGTTTTCTTCTTTTCTGGACTGGACTTTCTCTTACAGTCTTCTCTTTACCTTTACTACTAAGAGCTAATTGAGAACCTGGTTTCTGGATTACAGCTCTTCCAACTTGACTTGTTCCCTGTTAATTACATAAAGGAAATTTATATATCCCTTTTAGCACAATTTTTGAAAACTTTCTGGAATGAAACTTGATACTATAGAATACACAGATGTAAAAAAAATGGAGTAATTAATATCCAGCACTTATCTAGAATCAAAATAGACAGGTGGATCCTAATTTTTATAGCATCTTAGGAAACTTGAATCTTGAATGTCTGTGTAGCACTTTTTAAAACCCTGAGTGATAATCAACATTTCTCCCAAAAAGCATGATTATTTTTCTTTTAAAAAGTTCTGAATATCTGTGTATTCAAAGAATATTGGCAATAACTATTTTCCTAAAAGAAACTCTAGCTTTTGGGCATTTTGTGTTAAATTTTACATGTTCCACAAAATGTTGGGGGTTAGCAGAGATCACTCCCTTTTAATTTGATATCTCATATATCAACCTGATATTTTGCAAAAGATTTTAGATATTCATTTGTTAGCTGAAAAAATGAAATTATATTTCTTTAACGATAAACATTTTTTATTATTACTTGGACCACTAGGGGGTACTAGAGATCTGAACAAGAATAGGAGATGTCAAAACCATATTTTAAAAAAAGAAATAAAGTCTGGTCTTAGGCCTATATATAACTATAAATATGGTGTGGCTGTTTAGCAGAATGAAAGTGTAATATATGCTACTTTTCATGAGTTATTGGCTGTTGTATATTAACCATACCAATACTAAACATCTTGAAGACAGTAAGGAAGAGTTGCTGATATGGCAAGTTCAGTGATAAAGAAGATGTATTTATTTCTTTACAAGTAGTACTCATATTTATTAATATGCATTTCAGTCATTCTATAGATGCAAGTAGGTCTCCCTAGTGCTCAGAGGGTAAGAATCTAGATAACCTCCAAGGTCCTTTCCAACTCTGTTATTCTATGTTCTATGAATGCTGCTACAGAAATAATAAATCAGGAGTCTTCAAACTTGGCCCTTTTATGACTTGTGCTGGTTGAGGAATTCTAGGAGCTGAAGTCCACAAGTCATAAAAGGGCCAAGTTTGAAGACCCCTGTAATAAATCAACTAACTAATCCTTAGCTTTAAGATAATGTCAGCTGGTTATTATTCCAAAGGCAGATAAAATGACAGATTATCCACTTAAGAAATAGCAATGAACTGATGGTTTCAAAGTTTTGTTGATTAAAATTCCTGAGGTTACTTTTATAGTGTTTTAAGCCCTATATAATCCACCTGTGTATATTTGAACTTTTCAAATATTTATGTTGCACTTTAATTCTGACTTCATGAACTTGTTAGTTCCGCAGCCCTTATTTATAAATATATTGACTACCAATTTCTATTTTTTTCCTACATTTTTTTAATTGGCAAAAAAACCCAAGCATGGAAAGTGATATGGAAAGGGTCCTAAGATAAATGAACAGAAGGGTAAGTTTTTGGAGAAAATTGTCCCTTTGGTTGTACTTTTGCACTTTTCAATTGTGCATTTCCCTGCATCACTTTATCTTGGTCTCAGAAAAGATTTTCTGGATGAAGAGGAAGATGGCAAGAACTTTCTTTATGAAAATGGGATGAGGTCAGTGTGGGAAGTTAGCTGGCAAGCAGCTATGGAAAGACAAAATTGAGCAAAATTAAAATTAAATTAAATTAAGCAATGTCTGTCTGGTTTTAGACAGCTCTACCAGTACTATGGTTTCAAACATGCCTCTTTCTAAGGATATGCAAGTAAGAGACACTGACCCTCTCTTCTCTGAATTTCTTTCCATTTATTTCTTTTACCATTCTTAAAGGTTTTTGAATACAAAACCAGATAATCTATTGCACACACAGAATATTAGAATTTTAGCATACCAGAATAATGAATTCAAGTGAATTTTGGAATAGCATCAAACCTACCTCTGCTTCTGTAGAAGTCCCCTGTGGACTATAATAATATCCACTATCACTCTCCACAACCACTTCTCCATACTCATCGTACATCCCAGAAGGAGATAACAAGCGCCGCCGACTTCCGTATTGAGGCAATTCGTACCTGGTGGAAAAACCAGGTACAGACACCTTCCATGTTTTTATACAATTCAATTACTGCTCTACTACATTTTTTAAAATTTATTCCATCACTTTGGGTTTCTCCATCCCTTGCCCAATGAAAAACCTAATTGCTTCTAGACTTACCCTTGAGAGATGTGTCCACATTCTACCTTCACAGATATAAACAAAACCCCTCAAAAGTAATAAAAAGTAATAATTATAAGTGCAAAAGGAGGCATGATTAGTAAGAAATACTATAACATCCCATTTCTGAGAAACAGAACATCATTAATTCCAGTTTATGACATAGCTATTTGACCAAAATGTACTAGATATTCTCATTTTATTAAAATATGGTCAGATCTGTGGCTATAACATTACTTCTACTGCAATAGGATAGGAAGAGTTCCTACGTAACATACCTACAGAGAAAATCTACATATTCCTGTTTGAACAAATTCTTAAGAATTTTAAGTTATTTTCAAGTGAGCATGCTTTGCTTTAGGTTCCATGATGTAGAGATAAAAATGGTCCCACCACCATCCTTTGGAGCTATAGTGGCACAGTGATTAAAGTGGCTGACTGGTTCAAGATTGACTCAGCCTTCCATCCTTCTTAGGTCAGTAAAATGAGAAGCCAGATTGTTGGGGGCAATATGCTGACTCAGAGAGTGCTGTATATAAGTCTAAGTGCTATTGCTATCCTAAGATAAAATGTATATGCATTATATCATACTGTATCTAATAAAGAATTTCTTTGTTGCCTATTTGATTTACCAACTGAAGACCTGTTATGCAATTAAATCCAAAAACACAACAATAATCCACAAACCTTCCAATCTAATTGCCTACCTACTCATTGATGCTAGCCTATGATTGTAATAAACTTTAACTACCTCTCTATCTGGTTTCATTCTTGAACATCATTGAAAAGTGAACAGAACATAATGGATTTTGACAAGCAATTGATATTAATAATAGGTAAATCATTCCCAACCTGAGGTCTTCCAGATACACCGTGTGTTATAGGGATGGTATTTCAATTAATTTCTCATGATTAAAAAAGCCTGATAAAGAGGTCAGTTGTTTAAATTAACTAATGCTAAATACCATGAGCACAGTCTTCAGATTCCAGCTATGATATGCTTCCAATAAACAATAACAGTAGAGATTTATAATCTATGAAGTCATATTAAAAATAATTAAAAATGAATCATACCCATGTTCATAACTGTAGTAATCTTGCCCATAATACTCTTGGCCAGGATCAATACCTGATTCCATTGAAAGTTCCTGCAATACAGAGGAATACACAAATCCATGCTACTAAATGTAAACAACCTTGAGTACAATATGTCACAATGGCAGCAGCATAGTTGCTTGGTCTTCTTAGGTTGCACTCTAGGCATTAAATAACAATAACAATTCCAGATGATTTTCTTCATATAACAGAACAGAATAACATAATTGGAACGGACCTTGGAGATCTTCTAGTCCAACCCTCTGCTCAGGCAGGAGACCCTATACCATTTCAGACAAGTGTTTGTCCAATCTCTTCTTAAAAACCTCCAGTGTTGGAGTACCCATAACTTTTTAAGGCAAAATATTCCTCTGATTAATAGTTCTAACTGCCAGGAAATTTCTCCTTATTGTTGGTTGGTTGGTTCTCTTCTTGATCAGTTTCCATCAATTGCTTCTTTTGCCTTCAAGTTTTTTACCCCTTCTTCTTTGTGTCATCCCATTGGAACACTGCTATCATGTCATCATCCCCATTTTCTCAAACCGTTCTTCATATGTTTTAGCCTACAGTCCCTAATCATCTTTGTTGTTCTTCTCTGCACTCTTTCTAGAGTCACAACATCTTTTTTACATTGTGGCAACCAAAACTGGATGCAATATCCTAAGTGTGGCCTTACCAAGGTTTAATGCTCAGATCCAGGGGCACTGAAAGTTCTGTGGTTCTGTTCAGAATTAACATTTGGCACTGTAGTAATTCTATGCCAATGCCACCTTTAAATTCTTTTTAGATTGCGTTCAAATCTATTTAGAATTCCAAAAAAGATCTAGTTGATGGTGCACATTTATGCTAAAGCTGAAAAAACAGTATTTTATCATTGTGCTTTATGCATAATTTTTAATATGTTGCTTTCTTATGCCAACTGTTTTTATTTTATTGCTATATATTTATTTAAAATATTTCTTTAAAAAATATTGTTCAAAATTCAATAAGAATTCAACATATTCACAGGATGCGACAGCTGTTGAACAAACTATTTGTAAGAAACATTACATAATTTTAGTAGAATTGTTATAATTACAACTATTGTTCATTATATGATTTATTCCCTTCTAATCTATTGACAATTTTGTAAGGGTGCCTCTCATTCCTGGTGAAATGTTTGTTCTGGTTTAAGAACAGCAAATAACAAGACTGCATATAATGATGCTCTAAAAAAGTATTTTACACATGTGAAAAAGTCCATGTGCATGCATGAAATACACACACAAAAAAGTATCAAATATCATGGTACATGAAATTTGTTACCATGGATACCCAGATCTACTATATAATTTTTATGTAATTATGGATACAATAAACTGGGGAAACTGGGACTGGATAATGAGGGGTTCTTGAATTTGAAGGTTTGTATAATATCAAGTATGTGCAATTTAAATCTTTGTGTAAGCATTTTTACAATCTCTTCAAGAAAATGTCACAAGTTAGTTTGCTGAAGAGAACAAAGGGCGTTTACTTCTCCCAATAATATCCCTTCTTTTTTTTTTCCTGGCAAATATGATATACAAACTTCTCCCCTCCTGATCTAACAGAACACTTGTCAATGAAGTCCATTTCAATATTCTCAGGTCTGCTTAGGGCAACTGCCTGACTTTATGAGCTGTCAGCCAGAGGAACGGATTGTCTACATGAAGTTATAAATTCTTTCCTGCAGCTCTTGAAAATAAACAAACAAAAATACTGGATTATCATCTGTCAGAGAAATTCTAATAGATCTGCTGTCAATCCCTCTAGGTAGACCAGATAAGCAAATCAATTCCAACGGAAGGTTGGAAATACTTTTACTGAAATTGACTATAATCACAGAATCTGGCAACTCTGATTGTGCTATACTGCAGGGGTCCCCAGCCCCCAGGCTACAGCCCACTATAAGGCCGTGGCTTGTTTGGAACTGGGCCATGCAAGTGTCTGGCTGATACAAGCACGAACTTGTGCGAGTGGCAGGCCGGCGAGCACACGTGCACAGCTTAATTTGCACGAGCAGCGGGCCAGCGCATAGGCATGTGTGCATACACAGGCCTGCCACTTGCATAGGCCCATTCTCTCTCCCTCCCCACTGGGCTTCCAAGCTGTAAAAGTTGGGGACTGCTGCTATATGCACCCTCTCCTGCTAGAGTGAATTGGAGATGGATCTGCCTGAGATGCTTCTGAATGTTTAAATATTTTGATTTTTTTCTGCCATTTATGCCTAGATAATGGTGTCTACATTTAATGGTCAAATTTATCTTTCTTATCTCTGACCTGCACTGAACAGTGATTACAATTCAGGACTTTAAGGCTGAACCTAATTATAAGATTCTAATCTAAGTGGAATCCAGAGGTCAAAATATTTACGGTCAAAAAAGATCAAGATGGCAGCTGTGATGATACAGTTAAAGCTGCAATCATGGCCATGATTTTGACTGTTTTTTAAGCCATACCCTTTGAACCTGCCTGGTGGCACATATTGGCTTTGATAAATTAGCTTGGCTTTCAATATGGCCATTTTCCTGTCCTTCCTGCTGGATTACAATATCAAATATGATCTGTAAAGTATGTTGTGTACTTATAATTATCTATTTTGCAAAGATGTAATTTGTTTGAAACTTACGTTGGACTTTGTTACTGAACTAAGGGAAAGGACTCTATGACAGATGTTACAGATGTATTAACTTGAAAAGCCCTGAAGTCAGCTGGCTGAACTGCAAAGCATCAGATGTCAGTGCATCTAAACAATTATATCATATATTGGTTTCCTTTTATTTCTCTGACAACGAAAATCATTCCGTAATGTTTGTCAGGATCTAGAATTTAAGCTTAGAAAATTTTAGAATAAGGAAGAATATGGTACCTCAGGTCTGAGAAGAGAAGGTCTCAGCAATTGCTGTTGCTGACAAAGAAACAATATAAATTTGATTTAATGGCAAAAGGTAAATAAAGAGTTCCAAAGTAATCTTGATATCATTATAACAATAGTATACTTTTATAGGGTTACAACAAAGCTACCATTTGGTTTCAGCATAAAATTCCACGCCGAATCTCATTACGGCGTCTGTTTTTACATTTGGGTAAAAAAAAAATTGGTATCCCTGGCACCCATGTCCCTACCCCTGGCATCAGGAAGTTCCTTCCCCAGACACCAAAAAAGGTTCGATTTTGAAAAACAGGGAACAGCACCATTTTTAAGTATAAAATTCCACCCCGAATCTCATTCTAGCATCTGTTTTTACATTTGGGTAAAAAAAAACTTTTGGCCTCCCTGCCACCCGCATCCCTAACCCCAGGATCAGGAATTTCCTTCCCCAGGCCCCCCAAAAGACTTGATTTTGAAAAAGAGGAAACAGCACCATTTTTAAGTATGAAATTCCACCCCGAATCACATTGTGGAGTCTGTTTTTACATTTGGATCAAAATAAATTTTGGCCTCCCTGAAACACATATCCCTGCCCCCAGCATCAGGAATTTCCTTCCCCAGACACCAAAAAAGGCTTGATTTTGAAAAACAGGATACAGCACCATTTTAAAGCATGAAATTTCCACCCCAAATTTCAGTCCAGAATCCGTTTTTACATTTGAGTGAAAAAAATCTTTGGCTCCCTGGCACCCGCATCCCTGATGCCGGCATCAAGAATTTCTTTCCTCAGACACAAAAAAAGGCTCTATTTTGATCAGTATGGATAAATTCAACTAAGTATCTTTTTAATCTTTCTGCCATTATTGTCATAAAGATCTTATAGTCCGTATTTAATAAAGAGATAGGTCTATATTTTTTGATGAGAGTTAAATCAGAGTTTTCTTTAGGAATTAACATATGGTTGCTTCTTTCCATGAATTTTGGATTTTTGCTACTTTTAATACTTTGTTAAATGTATCCAATAAAGTTGGGCCCACAAGTTCTTGAAGATTTTTGTATATTTCATACGGTAATCCATCAGGGCCGGGTGTTTTATTACTTTTTTGTTTTTTAATTGCTTCTATAATTTCCTGAAGTGTTATGTCCTTATTTAATATATTTTGGAATTCTTCCGGGACCTTCAGCAGATCAGCATTCATAAGGTATTGTAGTATTCTTCCCTCACTAATCTTTTCATTGTCTTTATAGAGGTTTTTGTAGAATTTGTACGTCAAATGTTTTTTTTCTTCAGTCTGGTGTACCATCTCCCCCGCTTCATTGCATAGTTTACTGATCCATCTTTTATCTTTTTGTTTTTTCAGTCTATAGGCCAACCATCTCCCGGGTTTATTTGCCTGTTCAAAAAAATTTTGTCTTATACTTTTTATTTTTTGTGCCAATTCTTCTTTTTCTATAACGTTCAATTTATGTTTATTTAGATCAGGTTGTCATTTTAAATCCCTAAATTGTGGGTTTTTTTATAGTTCTGTTTCCATTTTTTTGTGTTCTTCCTCTAGACTTTTTTGGTACTGCCTTTTCTTTTTATTTTCATTGGCCATGTATGCAATTGCAGTTCCTCTCATGACTGCCTTGGCTGTATCCCATAGATTTTGGGTATTAGTCTCCTCTTTCTTGTTTGTCTGGAAGAATATCCGCATTTGTTCTTCCATCTTATATTTGAATTCTTTTTGATTTAAGATTGCCTTGTTGTCTTCTGTCCTTTCCATTTGATTATAATAGGATTATGGTCTGCCCATGTATTAATATCTATTGTTACATCCTCTACATCTGAATTTAGTTCTTTCGTTGTCCAGACCATATCAATTCTAGACCAAAAATTTCTCTCCCTCCAGCTATCCTGGATGTTAAGTTCCTCCGCCATTTTAAAAAAAGTACCAGGCAGTATTCTTCTAGTTCCTTTCCTTGCATTCTCACTTTCATAGTCTAATTCTCCATCTACAATTGCATTGAAGTCATCAATTAAACAAATATTCTCATTTTTGATATCACCGATAATCTTATGTAATTTCTTGTAAAATTGTCTTTGTCTCTCGTTGGGGGCGTAGATTCCTACCAGGGCAACTTTTTTTTTATTCAGGGAAATTTCAATTATCAGTATTCTACCTTCTTCATCCTGATAAATTTGTTTTGCTGGGATTCTTTCCTTGACATATATCACTATTCCTCCTTTTTTCTGCTGTGAGAGTGATACAAATTTAGTTCCTAACTTGGGGTAGTTTAATAGATCTTGGTGCTGATTCTTTTTATGTGTTTCTTGTAAGATTATTATATCTACGTTTTTCTTACTAAGCTTATTCAAAATTTTATTTCTCTTAGCCAGGGAGTTTAAACCGTTTACATTTAGTGATAGTGCTGTTAGTTCTTCTGCATACTGCCTATATTTTGATCTTGTCGCTTTCGTCGATCTGTCTTGGCAATTATTATGGGATAGGAATAGGAGGCTAACATTAGCTACCACCTATAAAGAAAATCTATATAATATCTTCTATAGGTGGCATCTTCCCCCCATAAGATTAGCAAAAATGGACAAAAAAACCTCATTGATATGTTGGAAATGTAGAAAATCACCAGGGATCTACTACTACATGTGGTGGGAATGCCCAAAAGCTCAAGAATTTTGGCATCTGATAAAAAAATTGGTTGGAAAGGGCGTTGTTTACCTGAACGCCTATTCTCAGCATGATGATGGATAATTCACCAATGGGTTATCTTAACCTTCCTGCTCCACGTGACTAAGTCTGAGTCTATAAGTATCAGTACCACGCCATGTGCTCCCCAGTTTTGAGACTAGGCGATATATGTACGTGTGTACGTGTTTGTTATAATACCCAGGCTTCCAGTCCCTAGGGTGGGGGTGAATTATCCATCATCATGCTGAGAATAGGCGTTCAGGTAAACAACCCCTTTCTCCAGCATGATTGGATGGAAAATTCACCAATGGGACATACCAAAGCCCTGTGTCCCTAAGGGAGGGAATCTGACTGGGCCTGGCTACCTTCTAATGCCAATGCCTGCTTCAGGACCTTACGTCTGAATGAAGCCTCGGCTGCTGCATACTTGTCAACCTTGTAGTGGTGGACAAAAGATGAGGGTGAGGACCAGGCCGCTGCCCTGCAAATCTCCTCTATGGATGCCTCAGTTGTCCAGGCCGCTGAGGTGGCAGTGCCACGGGTAGAGTGAGCGGTTATATGACTGGGAGTTGGCAGTGACTGGTTCTGGTATGCTAGGGCAATGCAGGTCCTGATCCATCTGCCAATCGTGGAAGAGGAGACCTTCTGACCTCTGGATGAAGGTTGAAAGGATATGAACAATGCCTCGGACCTACGGAAGTCTGCTGTCCGGTGTATGTAGCATTGTAGGGCCCTACGTACGTCGAGGGTGTTCCATTGCTTCTCAATGTCATTGGATGGGTTAGGACAGAAGTCCGGTAGCACCACCTCCTGCGATCTATGGTATAGGGAGTTAACCTTGGGCAAGAAGGACGGGTCCAGCTGAAGTACTACCCTGTCCGTATGGAACACGCACATGTTCCTGTTTACCGATAGGGCCGCCAGTTCAGAAATTCTTCTGGCTGACGTGATCGCGACCAAAAAGGCCACCTTCAGTGATAGGAGTCTAACGGGACATGTGTCTATGTGTTCGAATGGTGGCTTAACGAGTGCCATTAGAACTAGGTGAAGCTCCCACAAGGGGTATCGATGTACCGTCGGTGGGCATGCGTTGGAAGCTCCCCTGATGAAGGAGCAAACCATGGGATGCTGCGCTAGGGGGAGAGCGTTGTCGCACGTGATTACTGTAGCGAGGGCTGCTACCTGTCTACGGATGGTGTTCAGGGATAGACCTCTCTCCAGTCCACTAGGAATTCCAGTATCGTAGGTACAGAGGCTGCTAAGGGCTTGAGTCCGCGCCCTGAACACCACCTGCAGAATCCCTTCCAGGTTGCATCATATATTCTATTCGTAGAAGGTCGCCTGGATTGTTGGATCATGTCTATTACCCTTGTTGAATATGAGTCCTGACTCAATGCCCGGCGTTCAAGTGCCAAGCGGCTAACTGTAACCACTGAGGGTCTGGATGTTGAAGCTCCCCCTGCGTGAGGGAGATGCGATCTGATGGAATACGCCACGGGGCCTCGATGGAGAGATCTGTCAGATCGGCAAACCAGGGGCGCCTGGGCCAGTGGGGTGCGACCAGAAGGATCTCCGCCTGTTCCTGCAGCGTCTTCCGGATTGTGGCTGGAAGAAGTGGGAGAGGAGGGAAGGCGTACAACAGTCCCCTTGGCCAGGGACTGCGAAGGGCATCCGTTCCCTCCGCTGCCGGTGAGGGGAATCTGGAAAAGAACCTTGGTAGTTGGGAATTGTTCGGGGAGGCAAAGAAGTCTAGGATCGGAAGGCCAAACCTGTCCGTGATCTCCTGGAACACCTGCGGGTCCAGCTGCCATTCTGCCTGGTCCACCGTTGTTCTGCTTAGGGAGTCCGCCTGCTGGTTGGACTCTCCGGATATGTGTTCTGCCCTGAGGGAAGCAAGATTTAGTACCGCCCACGCCCCCAGCAATTGGGCCTCCTCCATGAGTGCCCTTGACCTTGTCCCCCCGTCTGTTGACGTGCGCTTTGGCTGCTATGTTGTCGGTAAGCACTAAGATGTGCTGCCCCCTTACTGTGTCCCTGAAATGTCTTAGGGCCAGGCGAATCGCCCTGAGTTCTAGCCAGTTTATGTTGTTCTCTAATTCCTCCTCTGACCACTGGCCCTGTGTCCAGTGTGAGTCCAGGTGTGCTCCCCAGCCAAACAGACTGGCGTCTGTGGTGAGGGTCATTCTTGTTGGTTCCTTGAACACCGACCCCCGCGTCAAGGCTGGAGAGGTCCACCATTGAAGGGAGTTCAACGCCACCTGCGTAACTTGAACCTTCCGGTTGGAGGCGCTGATGCGCCGTCTCTGGAACGGAAGAAGGAGCCACTGTATCTCCCGGGCATGAAGG